GGGCCATGACCTCCTACCAGGAAGGAAAAAAATCTGATTTCCTTCTTTCCGGCTGCTCCTCCTAAGATTTACTATTCTTTCAATCACCTGTTCATCTGAATATATCACTGACTTTTCAGTACTAACATAGCTGAATTCCTTTTGAGCAATGTTATAAAATTCTTTTATGTTTAGCATTGGAATAAAAGCATGCTCACAGCAGCTCATCCCTATAATTTTGCTCGAGTAGCCCATGGAGGTGTTTGAGCATTGATAATTTACAAATCTATTAGTCATAATCTTTTCCTTTCTTCTTTGGAGAAACAAGAACAGAAAAATATATAACTCTGAAGCAAACTAAACACAACTTAAATAGGCTCAAGTGGGAGAGAGAGTCTATTTCCTTATCTGTTCATTTTCTCAGCAAGAGAGTAGCATTATTGTGCCTGAATAAGAGGAAAAGAACACTATTTCCTCTCCACAAGGCTTTAAAACCGGTTTTAGTACTGTGGCAGAGTATAAAACTGCATTACAGTAGCAGATTCATGACATTACATGGATGGAAAGATACTGCCGTGCAAATATGTCACTGCTGAGCTGTAAGCTTAGGTGCAAACGGAACTAGCAGCCCAATTATACACATATTTACTCAAAACTACTTACTCAAAAGCGTACAGCAAGCTGGGCTACTAATTATCAAAACCTAAACTGGACTCAATTCCAGATCCTCAATCTAAGGTAGCAACAGGATACACTTTCCATTAACAGATGAAACCTAAAAGTATCAAATCAGTTGCTGCCTGGCCCTTTCTCTACCTGAAAAAAGCACTACATGGTTATTGCAGTGGCTTCTTATGCCTTTAAGAGAGAGAGATTCAGCTGAGATAGCACCCCATTGTTCTAGAGGGGAACCTGAAGGCTTCCAGATGTTAAGTTCTCAACACCCATCCAGGGCCAATGAAAGTTCAAGCCCAGCATCATGCTAAGTAACTTTCTTCAACTGGCGCCTTTCAAATGTTATGGAGCACAACTCCCAGCATTCCTAGCTAATGGCCAAGCTCTGTAGAGCTGATGGAAGTTGGTGTCCAAAACATTCGGCGCTCACCAGGTTGGAGAAGGTTCTTCCCCAACCATGCTGTAGGTGGCTGGCAAATTAGTCTATGATATTAACTGGAGAAAGCTGGCATGCACCAGAAGGGGGGACAGTCTGCAAAAGTACAAGCAAAGGCCATGGTGCAATTAACTTACCTTGTACGTATTTCCTCATATATATCAGCCGTAGGGTGGCCAGATACCAAAGAGAAGGCTCCTGCATCTTTAATAATTGTAGACAAGAGGAGGTTTTAGCTCCTATAGCTCATTTGACAAGTTATTCCTCCTGAAGTTCCCTCTTCTTCACAACTGAAAGGTGCACCAGTTTTGTCCTCTGGCCGCCCTAACTGAAGCTTAACCACTTTTAAGCTATACACACCACTGATTCAAGGAAAGCATTCGCTGGCATCATGAATTTTTAAAAATCTTGTCATGCACATGCTGCTTGGCAAAGAGGTCCCTACCAAAGGGGCTTTCAATTTAAGACTGGACACTAGGAAACACTGGGCAGGTGTGGGGAGGGGAGCAGAGGAGATAGAGATGCAAGAATGTGATTGTTTGATTACATGTGCTTTCACCTAGCTATAATACAAAGCCAGTTTTTCCAAAGGCTTTCTGGTAGGAAAATACACAGTGAACCGAATGTGTCCGTGTACAGTCATGCACATCATATCTGGAAGTGACCTTTCATTATTATTTTGCAATAGAATGGCAGCACAGACTTCAGGAGTGTAGAGAATCTATCTACATGTTGCTGCTACATTGTCATAGCCTATGCCATTTCATTCTCATAATTTGGAAGAATGGGGAAGAATGCAGACATCACAGGATTTTCAAAATCTTTCTGTGAATGAAGAGTGTGGAGGTTATCATGCAAGGTGTGTATGCTGTATAGACCAGATTCAGCAGCTCTACAGAGAGACCTAATGCACAGCGATTTGAATTCTAATGACTAAAATGCATTTCCTTCAAAGAAAGCAGAAATTTCTGAAAGGAAAACACACTTTTCCACACCCACAAACAATCTGGAATGCAACCTTAGTGTTGCCTCTAAGCCATCATTAGAATAACTAAACTTCAAAGGAAGCACATTTATGTCTTGGAAAGCAGTGTGTGGAAAGCTCTGTGCATCCTCTGTTACTATTCATTAATCATATATCCAGATAGTCCATTCTATGTCATCATCTTGATTATCACTGTAAGTATCAGATACAGAGTTCTATTGTTTCCTATATTTATTGCACATCCTTTTTTGTTGTTACATGCCATTGTCTCTGACTTATAGCAACTTTATGAATGAATGCCTTCCAAATGTCCTGTCCTTGACAGCCCTGCTCAGCTCTGGTAAACATTCATTCTTAGTCCAGACATTTTACTTCATTCTTTCAATATCCTTATTATTTATGTCCTGCAATACAAAAGTGTAATTGCTTTGAAGCCTGATTTAAAAAAACAAATACCTCAGACTTGACTTAAACATATTTACTCAGAAATGGATCCCACCAAATTCAACAGGGCTCGCTTCCTCACAAGAATCCTATGGACAGGATTGTTACAGCCCAAGTTTATACAAAAGTAGCCTTCCCCCAAGTTCACAGAGAACTGCAGTCTAAAGCCAATGAAATATACATGCCTCTATATAAACAATTTTCCATAGGATCCAAGTGTGAGCGGGAAACGGCAAGCTTTACAGCATACAGTATTGGTCCTCTAAGAATTGATTCTGTGTATTAGTGATATTCTTCATCAATTGACTATATATGATTTTCCTTGGTGTTAGAATTTCATGTTTTCATAACATGGACATAATTGCCAAAGCTAGCAGAAGCTCTGGGTGGCTGGCTGGCTAGCAAGAACACTGGAACACATACTGCATATTATAAAGTACGAGTTCATAGCACTTTTTCAAAGAACTCATTCAAACTATTTCTAGGTACATGGACTTAGTTTCTAGATATACTTTCATTGGACTTGAAGCTCTAATTTGGAACAAACACTGCCTTGGTTATTTTTAACTCAACTCAAAAGTACTATTCCAAAGTACTCTTAAGTCTCTTTCCTAAGATACATTTCAGACACTTCTAAGGATGCCCTCTATTTCCCCAGGTGTTTTAAGGTAATTCTAAGATCTTCCAAGTTTTTAGTTCTATATTTAATGTTACCTATTTACTGTTACTGGTTTTATTTAGGTTGCACTGTGGCTTAATGTTATACGACAGCCTTCATCAACCCAGTGCTCTCCAGCTATTTCAGATCACAAGTTCCATTAGTTTTAGACAGAAAGGCAAGGGCTGCAGATGAGTCTGAAACAAGTGATACAAAAACTGTTCCATGGTTTTCAAATTTTCCTTACTAATCAGAATTCAGTTGTAATTGGATGGAATTCAAATCGTATGAATACACAGAAGAGCAGCTGTCCTCAAATGTTGCCCCCCCCCCAAAAAAATAAATAGCATTTAGCCTTTCCTCATATTTAAGCTGCATATAGCTGGTTCATTACACTCTAAGATCCATTCAGAAGTAGGGTAGCCTTCAGTTTTTGTCCTCCTATATTTAACTACTTAAGGGTGAAACAGTGTCTATTCAGAAGTACTCATCATTAAATTCATGGGGCTTACTCTCAGGCTAGTGAATACAAGTTTAGAACAAAATATCTTCAAATACAGTGGTGGTCCAGATAGTTAAATGAGCATTTCAAAAGATACACTTCTAGCATAATGTACATGGCTGCATGTACTCCACCACCTGGCCTACCCTTGCTCTGTGATGATTGTGACTGACCAGGAGAGTTCCTTGATTCATTGCAGAGCTGGCAAAGGTGCTGCAAAATGTGATCCCTCCCACCAGAAAAGGCTTCAGTATTAGAGTTGTGTTTAGAAGACAACCAACCATGTTAGAGATTATACAAACAAATTATGCCTGGTATGGAAAAGAACAGAGATACGCCCTCTTTATGATATGCAGGAATGACTAGAATCCAAGATTTCACACAGAAGGTACTTCACCCACGGATTTTTGGGGGGGGGGGTTGGAGTTTGTGACCACATCTTCCTTTTTTGCGTCCCATACTCCGCTTCTAAATCCACACACACAAAACAAACAAAATAGCTGTATTTATAGGTCGCCCTAGAAAACCTCCTCCTAAGAAGCACCTTAAGAAAAAATGCGCCACCTTCCTCCATCTCACCATAACCAACCGTCCTCCCAAGAGGCATAATGATACTAGCACGACACCCAGCACGGAGCTAAATGCCAGCATTCGCTAACTCATAGGAAGGCTTCGCCAGCGGGCAAGACGGGTAGTGTCGGCGAATTCCGTGAAGGCAACCCGAGGCTACTGCTATACACCCGAGTGCGCGTTACTAAGGATGCAGTTCTGAGAGTCGGGCAACGGATTCGCCCCTCGCTTGGGGACACAATGGAGCTGCACGCCCGCGAAAAGGAAGGGCGAAGCAGGGCCTTCAGTCGAGCTGGGACGGAGGGAAGGGTGCGTGTGGTGAAGAACGATCGTTTCGGAAAGCTCCTCGAAAGAGAAGCATCTCCTGCGCCGCTGGGGCGGCCCTCGCTGCTACCCGGTCCCGCCCACCAAGCGGGAACCTCCCGTGGGCAGAACAGCAGCAGTAAGGTCCGCCTCCCCTCGAGGAAAAAGCAACCTGCGCCCCCCTCACCCACCCACCGCCTCCCACGGGAGCCCCCCAGAGGAGAACCAACCCCGAGCCCCACATCCTTTTCCTCCCTAACAGGCTGCCCAACTCGCCGACCCAAAAAAGAACGAAAGAAAGAAAAGCCATTCAAACGGGAGACGCGGCAGTTTATCGCCTCGGCGTGAGATCTCGCGAGAGTACCGAAAGCCGACTCTCCGACATGTGGGTCTCCTATCATCTCGCGAGAAATGTCGGGATCGTCGAGCATCGCGAGATCGCTTCGGAGCAACTGGGTGACGTCTGGCTGGGACGCCGCCGCTTCCGCCGCCTTCCCCTGTCCCCGACGGCACTTGCCGCGGTTCCGGGGGTCTTCCCTTCTACCGGATTGCCACTTGTCTGAGTGAGGTCTGCCCTTTGATTGTAAGCACCTCCGGGAGCAGAGACGTGTCTTTTTCTCCTTTTTTTTTCATTTTTGCAGGGCTTTTCTGGGCTGCCTTCGCTCCTTGCTAGTGCATTGGCCGGGGATGCCGGTGGCACCAAGTAGGCGCTGCGCTGCGGGGCAAACGGTGGTGGGAGTTCTCATTTGCCGGCAGCTCTTCCTTCACAGTGTCTACGGGATGGAGGATTTGCTGTCAGTGCTTCCCGGATGAAGCCCAGTAGTTTGCCCTTTCAACGAATACGGCGATCTCTGTTGGCTGAGACTTGTTAGGGCTGGCAGGGCCTTCTTGCACGATTTGTAAAATGCAGTGTGACTCTTGATGGGAACCAAAGAAAGTTGATCTTTCTCGGGAGCGTCCCGGTCTGATGTGGCGTGTTGTGGCTGCTGTTAAAAATAGATGTTTAAACTGTTGCTTGTAGCAGCAACAAGAACAAACAAAAAATCAAAACTAACGTTTATCCAGGAGCTGAAACTTTTAAGTTGTTGTGAGACTCAAAAATAAAACCTGTAACTGTGCACTGGGGGAAACTTCCCATTGATCATGCAGCTAGCTAGTGCCTGTAATTTTGAGAGGTAGAATAAATTCAGTAGTAGCAGAAATAGCAACTATTCATCTTGCTTGAACCAGTTGTCATGCCTGAACTGGTGTCATCCAGTTTGAGGAAATCTTGAGCATCTGAAGTGCCAAAGGCTGGAAATGCTGCAGAGGCCCTGGGAAAAGGACTGCTTCTTTCAGTCTTCTCTCTCCCTCTTTCCCTCACTTTTCCTTCCTTTCCCCTTTGCCATTTCTCTTCTGCAGTTTGATATTTGGGACAACATTCGTGGGGCATATAGGAATGATTCTTACTGTTGCCATACCACCAGTAGCCTCCTTAAAGATTGTCATTGCTGTACATCATGCAAGACCAGGAAACAGGATAACTCAATCTGTGTTAACTTAGAATGAGCAATTCCAAATTTCTTGTGCTTCTCCCACTGCATGCACAACACCCCATACACCAGAGGTGTCCAACTTTTCTCACCCTTTCGTTATGACATGAGAACTAATATCTCTTTGAAAATTCTTATAACACTTGAAAAACTGAAAAAAACAAGTCAATCAATAACCTTATGCTTGACTGTGGTGTTAATAACTTTTAAACTAGAGCAACAGAGGCTTGGTGGCCACTCTGAAAAATATTTCTCTCCCTGCTTTTTAATATAAAGAGCTGGTAAATCAAACTGCCTGTTGAGTTGGGTATCTTTCTCTGAGCCTGGTTTCTTTGAATGGTAAACCTAAACCAACAAGACACACTTCATTCTTCTGCTTCTCATTTCAATCTTAAAATCTACATTCAATCCCTTTCTGCATTATAATTCCGCTTTATGGGAGGGTTATTCTCATTCTCTGTTTCTTAGAACTTGTCCTGTAGACGGGAACGGGGGAAGCAGCCCAGACGTGGCAACACATTCTCAGGCCCCTGCAGGACCGCCATGGCTTATGATGACTCCAAGAAAAATGAAGGTAGGATTGTTTCATAATCTGAGAGGTGTTACAGGGAGAATACCATCTCCAGCCCATGGAGTGAGAGACTAGGAAAGAAAGCTACTGTCCTGCATGGATTGGGTTTCTGCAGCATTCCGGATCCTTTCTTGGAGATTTGAGAGAAGCAGGCTTGGAACATGAGTCTCAAATGGTCATTCAGAGTGCAGATTAACCATTGGTCTTGGTTGCAGTAGCACTCCATAACCCCATCAGCTCCATGGAATAATAATTCTGGATTGGACACTGGATCCAGATCTTCTACGCAGCACATCACTGATTCCTAGGCCCTCATTGGTTGAGTAGCCTTTTTGGTTCTTATTATTTCTGAGAGGAAACTTAAGAGCAGGAATAAAACTCCAGACTTCCATATGGCAGCATAAAGTTCAGTGCATTTGTCCAAAGGCTTGGAACAATGCTGTACTGTAGTGCTTAGATCCTGCTGCTTTGTGCTTGTGCTTGTGCGTGCTTCCTTGCTTGCTTGCTTCCTTTTGTGCACTGCACTTTATTTTTGGTAACAGTGACTGTTAAAGTAGTCTGCAGTGAGTTTATTTTTTGAACAAGTATCTTCCCTTCCTCAGACTGCATAGAGAGTGACCGAATTGATGATGTGGGACTAGTAGCGGGCAGAACCCAAAGAGAGAAGAAACGTTCCTACAAGGACTTGCTTCGGGAAGAGGAGGAGATAGCTGCTCAGGTCAGGAAGAATTCAAAGAAGAGGCTGAAGGTGAGGGAGCTTAAGATGAGAATGGGGAAAGTTTGCCATGCTACAGTGAAAGTGGCTGCAACTTTATCTGGAATGCATTGAAAAGTTGTTGTGTGTTCAGTGTTCTTATTTGTGAAGGGGCGGGAGACCTCTTCCACTGCTATGTAACAAAGAACGAACAAAAAACTTACTGTCAGAAATAAAAACTGTCCTGCTGAACCAGCCCAGACATTCAGTTTCCAAGTGTGGCTAGTCTGTAGAAGATGACAGAAATGGCTTTATGGAGTACAGACTTTGTCATCAGCACCCGGAAGTTTAAACATTATATGTGTATCTTTCCCCCCTTGAACGGAACCCTACACAATCCTCTGCCTCCTCTTTTTCCTCACTACTACCCTGTGAAATAGGTTAGGCTGAGGGTAAGTAACTGGTCCAATGTTGCCCAGTGAGTGTCATAGTGAGTGGGGACTAAAGCCTGGCTCTTTGCAGTCTACTCTGACCACTACACCACTCAGCTCATGGCATCACTACACATCATGCTTTATAGAAGTGGAATTGACTTACTGTTTAACGCAATATCAGTGTTACATCTAAGCACTAGCCTAGTAGCCCTAGCCAGCCAAACATCACATGCAGGCAAGTGCACAGAGTTCTGTGTAGGCTGGTGCAGGACATAGAGTTGTATTCGGTACTCATCCTATTAAGAGAGGATCTATTGAAATGAATGGGGCTTCAGGCTAACAGTGAATATACCCCATAGAAAGTAAGTGGGCTGCTAGAGAAAGGAAACCCTCTTTGCATAGAAATACAGTTATCTCTCCCTTCTCTGGCATCCCCCATGAGGCTAGTTAGCCATTTTGCAAGCTACTGACATGTAAAGATTTACTTACAAGGCTGACTTAGGATCCTAGTTGTCACTTTATTTTTGTAGTAGTACATACATTGAGAGAACAAAAAGAATGGGAGTCTTGGGGAATTGTAAGCTATATACAGAGTTTATTCATTCTCTGCTTTAAAGAATCTTATGCTGCTCCAGGTCTGTAATATGGTATCTACCTTCTCTAAAAAGCAAGATGTGATGAATGCAACTTTTTATTGTCTGCTTATTTTAGAAGTCTTGTTGTTTTGATTCCCACTGCAAAGGTAGTTAAAGATGCTATTTAAATTAGAAACAGAATGCTTCTAATTTAAGTGCCTGCACTTTTGGCTTCATAGATTACCTTCAAAATGTTAACAGAATGCAAACTGATATATTGTTGTCTTCCTAATTCTACAGATAACCTGAAAAATAACAAGGTGTGATATACCTCATTCAATTCCTTGGATTTGAGGAATTGACACAGACAGCTTTTCCTCAAAACATTCCCTTTCAGCTGAAATTTCTCCTGTTAGTCTAGAGGTGATTGTTTTTGTTATGTTTTTAAAAATAAATATATTAGTTAGGAAGAGTTATTTTCTACTCCTAAATGGGAAAAATCTACTTTCTCTATGATATATCCCATTCTTTTTCATAGTCAAGCAATATCATGCTTTATGGGACAGATTTATTAGAAGATGTCGCTTCTGGAGGCATCTATATCAGAAGCAACTGTGCAAATATCTTCATAATCTTTTTCTTTAAAACAAACAATTCTGTTGTGCTCCTTTCCAGGAGAGTGACCTCTTTTTGCTGAGATCAGAATCTCATAAGAAGAAGAGGAAGCATTCCTCCAATGAGTGCTGTTACCGAGGTAAGGGTGGCAGACAAGACAATAATGGAGACGAGTGGCCCTTTTAAAGCTGTTTTTACTTAAAAAGCGTCCTTAATATGCTTTGTATGTCACAGAGACAAAACAAGTCAGGGCCATTTTTTCACTAAAGGCTTCAGTCCTGAGTTAGGCAAGGAAGATAGCTTTACAGGTAAAGGGAAGGCAGATATATAGATTAGAGATCCATGCTTTAAATCATTAGGTGCTTTGAGATACTTTTGATTGCAGCTTCCACAACCCTAACCATTGGATCTTGATGACTGGGGCTTAAGGGGATTGTAGTCCATGAGTCCCATGACACTGTGGGAGTTGCCATTCCCCATTGCATGAGCAGACCATCTGATCCCTGCCATTAGAGTGGCTGCTGCATTTTGTACAAGCTGCAGCTTCTGAACAGTCTTCAAGGTAGCCCCACTACAAGTGCATAGAAGTAATCTTGTTTAGAGATTACTAGAGCATAGATCACTGATAGCAGGCTGTCTCCATCCAGATAGTTTTTAGTTAAAAAGACACAGAAGGAATAAACTAGCCAAGAAAAAGATGGCAAAAGCAACTTAAAACTCAATGGAGGAGAAAAACATGGAGCCCAAACACTGATCTATAAACATCTTCCCCTCCTGTTTTTGTTTCTGCCCACACATACTTAACTCTGTTGCATCTTTTGGTGGATTATTATAGCAAAAAGCTTTTGAACCCTTTCTTGCTTGCAAATGTACTTTAAATATATCAACTCACATGCTTAGCTTGGATTTTTTTCAGTGTCAGAAGAGAAAAGATACATTTTGATCACTGGAACTGCAGTTGATTAATAATTTGCAAATGCTCTCAGAAGATCATCCTATGCATAGTGGAAGTAGTGCAGGGGCAAAACATCTCTGTGTTTGCACCTGCAAAATGCCCCATCTAACTGCATTGCTTCAGAAGCTGCTGCCAGGATATGTTATATGTTTGGACTGCCTGCCTTGCTGCCTCCTTGCCCCTTGAAATGCCCCAAAAATCCCTTCGCCAAGGTTGTTTTTGCCAGCTGGTGAGGTTCTTTCTGCACCAGCTTTGCGGGAGACCCAGGCATGTCTCCCCAGCTCTGAGGTCGGAGTGCTTTTCCAAGCTTGGAGTTAGAAAACTGAACAATCCTATGGCAGTCTAGAAACCATTGATACCCTACTTTATGAATTTGTCTAATCGCCTTTTAAAACCCTCCAAATTGGTTGCCATTACTGCAGCTCATGGAATTGGATGCACTCATTTAACTGTGTTATATGTGAAGTAGTACTTCCTTTTATCTGTTCTGAATCTCCCATCAGGCTGTTGCATTGAGTGACCCTGGATTCTGCTATAAAGAGAGGGGCAATCTTTCCTGAATGCTCTCAGCAGGCTTCCCTGACATACAACCCTGAGGTTATGGTGTATAGGTGAAGCTGTATTTGATATTTCATGTGCATGTCCCTTCTTTGATCCTTCTCTCCTGGACTCTTTCAGACCTTTCTCCTTTTGAACTATCCCTGCCTTTGGAGTTGAGTTCAAAGAAAAAGAAAGGAGTCTCAAGTCCATCCTCTGCTGATACTGCCATGGATCTGCTGAAGGCAATCACCTCCCCATTGGCCACCAGCTCCAAGTCTTCCAAAAGGCCATCTGAAAAATCCCCTCATTCTTCATCCTCTGCCTCTGGCCATTCAGAGGGCAAGAAGGAGCATCACAAGAAAAAGCTGAGCGGGAGCAGCAGTGATCTGCCCTTGGATGACAGCAGCTCCCACAAATCCAAAAAGACAAAGCCCCCGTATGTGAACACTGAAATGCTGACTTTGCGTGAGCCTGATGGCTTAAAAATGAAACTCATCCTGTCACCAAAAGAGAAGGCGGGGAACAGCGTAGAGGAGCCCTTCCCACATTCAGCTGCACCCAAAAAATCCTCCAAAAAGTCAGCGCGAGACGATCAAGGCTCACTTCTTCCAAATCATGACACACATGGCTTCCTGAAATCCTCCCGTAAGAAGCATAAACCATCTCCAGACTCGCATCCTCCTGCAGTTGTGGAGAACTTCAGCCCAGACACATCCCTCTTCCCAGAAGGCCAAAGCAGTGAGTTTGAGCTGTCAGGCCTAGAACCCCAGCTGGAATCTGCCTCTTCCTCTGGAGGTGAGCTGGAAGCTGGCGAGCTAGTAATTGATGATTCATACCGGGAGATAAAGAAGAAGAAGAAATCAAAAAAGAGTAAAAAGAAGAAAGATAAGGAGAAGCACAAGGAAAAGAAACACTCCAAATCAAAGAAGAGTTCTGGGCTGTCTTCTTCACTGGTGGGTGCAGAAGTATCGGCTCCATTGCCGGTTTCTCCAAGCAGTGCACCATTTGCTGTCCCTGCTCCTCCCCCACCCGCTGTCCCACCACCACCACTGCCGCCACCTGTCTTCCATACAGATGGCCAGAGTGAAAAGAAGAAGAAAAAAGAAGAAAAAGAGAAAGAGAAAACTGAGAAACTGGAAAAAGAAAAGGTAAAAGTACTTGCAGAGGAGGTGGGTAATCACACTTGTTGCTTTGTTTTCTTATTAAGTCAGGGTGGGATTTCATAGCCATAAATCTGGATTCATAATTGTCTTTTTATGTACAAAGTTTTCTGTAGTAAATTTACCATTTTAAAGTTTTTAATTAGCTGACTAAACCATGAACTCCAAGCAACCAGAAATTGTTTTGAAAAGTTTTATTCTTCTCCAGGCGATGTTTGATTACTGAACCACATTTAACAACTTAGGGTTGATTATGTCCTCAGTGCTTGTGAGCCTCCAAACTTTTAAGCTTACGAGGATCTAATGCAGAATGAAAGAACTGGTGGGAGCAATCTCTGCTTCCCACTCGGCAATTTCGGCTGTCTAGCTACAGTGCTTTAGAAAGGGAGAGAAGGAGGCTGGAGTGCTATCAGGATACCTTGTATCCTGGTAGCCAAGCCTTCTTTCTGAACTACTCCTCTCTGAGATCAAGAGCAATGTTTCCAGATCTGGGAATCCATAGTATCCCGTGCTCCCCTAGATGCTGTCTTGGGTCATAGAACCTCTCCCACCTTCTGTAGTTGCACTGTAAAGGAGGGGATCTGCAGATCTATGGTCTGATCATTGTATAGGAGCTGAAAGAAATGGATACTAGTAATGTATTGTAAAACATTATGTTCTCTTCCTCCCTCCCTGTTTCTCATTAGCCAAAGAAGAAAAACATGTCTGCTTACCAAGTTTTCTGTAAGGAATATCGTGTAAACATTGTGGCTGAGCATCCAGGAATAGGTAAAATAATAGCCTTGCAAGGACTGGGTGATTTTATTTGTTTTTAAAGTCCATTTTACTGCCTCCTACCTCTTCCAGTGCATTTTCATGGAAGTAGAATAATGTGTCAAAAGCCATTCTGCAGTTTAAGTATTTAGCAAGGGCTATTTCTTCATAACTGCCAACACCAGAGTCTTACCAATTGACTGACTGTTTACTCCACTCTTTACTCTAGAGCAGGGGTCTCAAACTC